GAATAGTGTCAGCAGTACTGAATAGTACTGCAGCAGCAATAATAGCTATTGTATATACTATTAAAGACAGCAGGCCTCCTCGGCAGCATCATACAGAACACGCGCATCTGCATCGTTCGAGGTGTAGGATCTAGGTTTTAGAGTTTCATGTCGAGTTTTGGCCCTGGGGGCGACGACCGACAACACAGACCCACCCAATTGCTCAATGTAGCTAAGGCCTCAAATCTCGATTACGTAATCGCCTAAATCATGGGAAGCATGGGCAGCATAATATAGGGGCCTAAATAATTACCTATACTGTGTTGGGGGTTCCTTCTTGTAATTATAGAATAATGGGCCCCAAAACCCTATTCTCATTATGAAGGCCCCTATGCTAGGGCTCAGTTCGGGGCCTGAGTGAGATCAGTTCGTTTCGCTGCAAAGCTAAGTGCGGCCGAGAGGCACAGCCAAGAAGGGCGAAATACCTGTACTCAATGCCCCAATAAGTAGCATAGGGCCTAGGGGCCTTCATAACTAGACTGGGGCTCTGGGGGAAAATATTGTTATCAATATGATAAGGACCCCTATGGACAGATAAATTGCTGCGACCTTTCAGATGTCGAACTGCATTCGCTGAGTAAGAAGAGGAACAGTGTATGCAACCTAGCATACGGCATATATAGAGAAGACAGCATCATCTATGATACCACCTCGATACCGGTGGCCATGGAAGCATGAAGCATCTTAAACTTGTCAAGCTGTTCTGGGTCTAAACCCTAAACCCCCTAAGCCCCTAAATTGTCAAGCTAGGCTATTCTGACTCGGATGTTAGTGAGCTCCGATCTTGCAGTCCCAACAGTCTGTGCAGGGAACACCCACATCTGAGAGTTTCCGAACATAGGGGAGCCTACTACAGCACCCTAAAGCGGATCCTTATAAGAAGGACCCGAAAATGAGGTACCAATAAACCCTACACCCTTGGACAGAAGCTCCCCTACATAGTAGGATCCTTCTAAGAAGGACCCCAGGATTAGGTACACCCTACACCCTAAGCCCTAGTTGACACCCCAGGACAGAAGCTCAGGCACCAAGGAACCTCTGCGCAGTGCGCAACAGATCCTAAAAGCCGCCAAGTGCTGAGTTGCAAGCGCTCCGCCCCCAGCAAGATCTGAAGCAGGGGTGGGGGATTACAGCGATTTGAAGCTAAGGTTTGAGGTTACCCTAACCCTGAACCCTTAAACCCTTAAACCCTCAACCCTTAAACCCTTAAACCCTTGAACCCTTAAACCCTTAACCCTTAAACCCCCTAAACCCTAAACCCAGGGGCTGAAGCTCCTGAACTCGAAACCTTCGCATAGCGATCAGCCAAGGATGGTCGAGTGTCGCCACGCAGAGGGCTGTAACCAGCTTCGAGTCGGTCTGAAAGATGGACCTGATCCTGACGGTTTAGGGTTTAGGGTTCGGGGTTCAGGGTTTAGGGTGTACGGTTCGGGGTTCAGGGTTTAGGGTTTCGGTTGAAATCTCGGGATGTTTTCAGGGTTGGGCTTCCTACAGTTTACGGTTCTGCACGGCTTGGGGTTGCTTTGGGGTTTGAGGAATCCTGGCCTGCTGTTTTTCAGGGTAGCCTCGTCCCTAACTTTCAAATCCATACACCGGCCCTGGCTATCTTATGTTTCGGGGACAATCTTTCTTAACACTGGTCGCAAACTGCAGAACGGCATGGCTCAGTGAATCCTTCGAAGGTGATCAAATTCTTAAAGGCCTCTCTGCTTCTCAGAATCTTACCAGTTTTCTCAAACGGTTCGAATCTATCGTGATGTAGATTTGGAGTGCTTGCAGTATGAGTCATCCTTTGGGTACGGCCCCCACTCAGTAATAGTTGAATAATATTATTCATAATGCAAATATAATAGGACCTTAACAAAGGCCCTATTATAGACTCTTACTGTATGGGGGCTGCACCTAAGTCATCATTCATGATCAACATCCGGCCGCTCTGTGATTCTCTTCTTCTGGGGATCGTCAGCGGTGTCGGGAGTCTTCGACAGAAGGGTGAGGCATGAAAACAGTTTCTGTAGAGCGGGTCTTTAGTCAACATCTGGACTGGGGCTTGCAGGGCGGGTTTGCAAGGCTTGCAACCCGATTTAAAGATTCATAAGCCCGACAAACTGCAAACACCACCGCCAGCAACGCCAGCCTGGTTCAAGAACCCCGAAGCCGAGACTTAAACCTTGAACCCCCAACTCTGCTACCCCCAAAAGCCCAATGGCCACCGTCGAAAAAACAGTAAACCTAGCAAGCAACAGCAAACTCAAGAACCCCGAATGCACAAAAAAGACTCTCGTAGACCCAATAAAGGCGAAACTCTACGAAGGTGCTGGGTTCATAGGCCCCGACAGTGTGCACTTTCTTTTCTGTGTGGGATAAGACTATCCCAAACAACGTAAAGTGTACTCATCTCACTCCTTAAGCCCCATATATACACCCTAAACCCCCTTAAATCGATTCGGCCGCTAAGAAGGTAATGTAGGAACCTGCTTAAGAAACCCTGGGCCTATACCCCCCAAAAGTAGGATTCAAATAGGGATCGCCCCAAACGGGCTCCTACAGTGAACCCTAAACCCTGAACCCTTCATAGAATCTATGAACCCTTATAGATCCCTTTATAAGGAACCCTTAAAGGATCCCAATTTCGTTTTGGGGATCAGAGGGTTCATGAACAGAAACCACCGCCACACAAACTCTGCCTCGACATCCCGGACTCGCCAAGCTACGGCCGAAAGGCGCGAAGAGCAAGCTTTGAGGATGTGTCTAGGGTTGGGGGTGTAGGGTTTAGGGTGTAGGGTTTTGTGTGCATATCTCTGCATCCAAGTACTTATTGCTGGATCTATCTACTCATGTATCTGCTTATGTATACGCTGCTGTTCTAACTTAATTGCTTGCTTTCCTCTTTTACGTCCTATTGACATTGCTTCCTGTTCGGATGGCGACAACACACCTTCGAAAAGGATGCTGAAACGGCCCTAAAGCCTTTAACCGTGGTCTGTTGGGCGAGGGGCTTGTGGGCTCTGGACCTAAAGCAGTTGGGGCCCTGGCCTTCATCTGAGCAAAAGCTTGGGCGAGCAAGCCATGCACTTACGCTTGGGTTTGGACTCCATCTAGGGCTGAAGGAGAGGGGTTGATAAGGGTTTACCGATTACCCAAACCGTCAAAGGTAAGTTTCATAAAGGCCCAACACCTCTAAAATGCCATTATTGTAAATAGTTTTGGGGTCCGGGTACAGGGTTTACAGGGTCGCGGTAAGTGTCTACAAGCAAACTGCTTCAGAATTCGGAGCCCATCTTAGGCATGTAGCGTCTCTTGTTTATTAAGCTCACCTGAGACATGGCAGAGGCGGCAGAGAAGTGTCGCAGATCTCCGGGATTCTACAAGCCCTGTTTCACATTTTGGGTTTTAAGGTCCACTTCTTCGGGTTTCAATGACGACTTGACGGTGCCAGCCCCAATGCAAGCCTCAACTTCAGCGACAACTCCAACATCCTAAAAACCCCTGAACTAAACCCAAAACCCCCAAACTAAACCCTAAACCCCCAAACCGTAAACTCCGAACCCCTAAACCCCGAACTAAACCGTAGACCCCAAACCGTCAGGTTTGAAGACTGAAAGCCTCCCAGTGTCATCGGAAATACTTTGGGTACGGCCCGCACTCAGTTATAGTTGAATAATATTCATAATATAGATATACTAGGACCTTACTAGTAGCCCTATTATAGACTCTTACTGTATGGGGTCATAGTACCTAAGAAATACCTCTCACCAGAACCTAAAACACTGAACCCCGAAACCTAAAACAAGAACCCTACTTGGAGGATCATGGGACTTAGTATATAAGTGAGGTTATAAGTACCTGAACTAGGGTTATACGTAGTTAGAAGTAGAGTTAACCTGATTATAGCCCTAGTTACTAAGTCCCATGATCCTGTAAGGACAACTGCCAATAAGCCTAAACCCTTTTGCTTCCAGCGCAGAGAGCACTCGTGTGTTCCGCTCCGCAGATCAGAGATGAGTCCTCGGTTCCTCTGCGCATGCAGGGATGCTCGCCTGGACCAGGTTTGTATAAGTTCTCCCATAATCCCCTTGCTGATGACGGCTTAGGGCTTCGTTTGTGCGGCCTTGGGTTCTGCTGCAACCCCTGAATCATAGGGTTTGCGATTAATTAGGGTTCAGGTTGGGCCTAGCATTTCGGGCTCAGGTTGTGGAGTTTGGGGTGCAGGGTTTTAGGGCTTCGGGTTTAGGGCTTTCAGACTTGAAGTTCAGGGTTTAGGATTCTGGCATTCTTGTCACGTAATCAGATTTAAGAATCAGGAAGTCACCCCCCTTCCCAAATCAAGAAAAGGACACGGGCAAAACTTTGGGCCCTAGAGGAAATTGTCCTTGTTGAGTTAGCAGCCTGCGGGGTTTGGCTTTTCGATTTTGGGTTCAAGATGTGGGATTTTAGGGTCTGGGTCAAGGGTTTACGGGTTTAGGGGGGTAGAGGGCTCGGAGAGTAAAGAACTTAGCTTATAGCTTTCAGGGTGAGGGTTGGATATCTTCTGCACCAGGGCCTCTGCTTGACACGTAAGTACGTATACATATATATATATATATATGTATGTGTATCTAGAGGGAGAGAGAGAAAGAGAGAGATAGAGAGAGAGAGAGAGAGAGAGACAAAGAGAGATAGATGGATAGATAGATAGATATACACACGCACACCCACACTGAATTACAGCAATATAACCTGATACCACATCCTGCCTCTCCAAAGGAAGGGAAAACGTGGAAAGCCTTACCAAAAACCCTCAATTCTAACCCCAAACTAAACCTCCCTAAACCCGACGCCCCGAACCCCTGCCTTAACCCCAGATAACCTATCTTTTTCAAGGATTTATACGAGGAAATCAGAATAGGGTAGGGTCCAGGTACAAGTAGGCCCCAAACCCTAAACCCTAAACCCTCAAGTCTCATTCGGCCTGACTGAGCTCAGGCGTCCACTTCCTTCTTCTCGGCCACGGCGGTCTCAACCTTTCCCGAAGCCCTAAGCCCTTTCAAGGGCTTAGTGTTGAGGGTCGAGGGTACAGGGCTAAACCTTGATAATCCCTACCTTAGCCCTGAAAAACCTACTTTTTTAGGGTTCCTTACCTTTATACGTCCTTAAAAAGGTAGGTTATTTGTGGCTAAGGTAAGCACTATAAGCAATCAGAGCCCCGAAGGCGTAGATCTGTTCCGAGGGGTCCTTCCACTTGGTTCCGACGGTTCGGGCGTCGGGGTGTAGGACTTGCGACAGCAGTTGGGTCACGGCTCGCCAGAGAGGCTGTTGAGCTTTGGGTTGATGGCCTACTATAGGGACCTTGATAATTAGAACGGGGCTTTGGGGCCCATAACAGATGTTCATAGTAAGGAGCCCCCAAACTAATGTAGGTAGATATTAAGGCCCCTATAGTACACTTTCAAGCGTTTGAATTTTCAATTTAGGACTAGGGCGCTTTGGTTTCAAGTTTTGAAGTTTTGGGAGCTTTCGGATTTAGGGCTTATCAGGCTTTGGGTATGTCAGGCTTACGGTTCGTAAACCGTCTGCGCACCATACGGCATAGGTGAGATCCAGGTTTAGGCCTTAGTGTTCAGGGTTACCGTTTAGGCTTCCGGCGAGGAACAAAGAAGGTCCCTAAACCTGAAACTTTCACCCTAGATGCTGTAACACAGCACCGACAATTTCTGCAAACCGTCAACCTGCACGCAACTTCAGACAAACCGACATAGAAACAACAGTGGAAACATGGCCACCACAACCCCACCAGTACCCATTGTCAAGCCAGTTTTGAAACATTTGCTGCTTGGAGTTAAACTTCAAGACATCGTAAATTCTCTGCTGTGTTTCAGAAACAGCCATCTCTTAATCACCTCACACTGGTTCCTGCCAGACTTCCCAACACCAAACTAGCAGACCAATCCCTGAGCAACTCCAACACAAAGCGAAGCAGAGAACAAAGGCTTTGAGTGCTTTAAACCTCGGACGTGAACCCCTGTGCTCTTCGACTCTTCGCCGCCTAAAACCTTAGAAGGCACGCATCGTACTATGAGTTTCCCCGGCTTTCAAGGGCAACTCTACATACTCAGACCTTCTGCCCGCCTCCCTAAACCGAAAGCCCTGACCCTAAACCAGTACCTCGAAACTCTCAGCGAGTAGAGCGGCAGGAGGTCTATACCTACCTCTCTCAGACCATCTCTGACGAGAAGCCCTCAGCCTGCAATGAGCCTGAGACCTACAACCCCACCCCTGCCCCCTCCCTCCCATGGGTTTGGAGATCAGGTTTTAGGGGGCCTCAAAAGGTAGGATGAAGGCAGGTAGGATATTCCCCAATAAGAGTCCTTAGGGGATCCGTAATCCCACCTACCTTCATCCCACCTTGTGAGGCCTCCCAGGTTTTAAAGGGAACTCCAGAAAGTTGGAATATGGATTAATGGTAGGATCCCCCATAATTGACCTTAAAGGGGTTACGATAATGATATTCCAACTTTCTGGCTTCTACTGTAGGGCCTCATGGGTGACCATAAAGACGCCAGCAGCTGCCGCCGCACCAATCAGCTCGAGGGCAGAGTAGATGAAAGCCTCCAGAACGCCAGCTTCAGAGGGTTTAGGGTTTAGGGTTCCTAAAAGGGATCTATAGGGGTTCCTGAAAGGGATCTATAGGGGTTTCCTAAAAGGGATCTATGGAGTTTAGGGTTTAGGGTCTACCTGGGAGGATCATGGGACTTAGTAAGTGAGAACTAGTAGGAGGCGAACATCTTTTTGATAGTCTACAGAACAGAGGCCAGGGCGATCGCGCCGCAGGGATGAAAGGATTACGGATTCTACGGCTGATGATATAAATCCTGCATTACCTTAAGGACCCCAAACTGAGGGAATTATGGTATATTCCTTGCTATGAGTAATGCCGGATTTGTATCATCAGCTGTATGGATTACAAGGGTTATTAGGGGTTCTAAGTTATGGGGATTAAAGTCAGTGTTGAAAAGGAACAGCTTGGTGTGTCCCAACTGTAACTCTTGTCCTCGAGATCGCAAAAGGCGGATTGAAACTCGCCACCTACAGTCCACCCCATAAAGTTGGAAACCGGATTAAGGCCAAATAGTGCTGGGATTCCCTATACGTTACTCTTAAGGACTGAGGCAATTGGGTTTCCAACTTTTGGGCTTCTACGGCTTCTACTCTATGAGTTTCCAAAATCGGGATTCGGGATGGCTAGCACCTGCCAAGCCTGACACTGAGACCTGAAACATGCAAGATGCAAGTAGCTAGGATTTCCATAGCCCAATTTTTCCACTCACCCAGATCTTTGGTATACACCCTGGATCAAGCAAACCCTCAACTAAACAAGCTGCAAACAATCTCAGACCAGGCAAGCCAGGATAAGATCATGAACAGTTTGGTGGTACAAGATAAGGTACGTGTAGCGAATAATGAAGATAAGGGGAAATACGGTAAGCCAAGATAAGGCATGACAGCATGAGACAATGCAAGACGAACCAAACAAAACCAAATGTAGACATATCACTAGCGGTCAGAAGGCCGAACACGACGTCGATGTACATACAATGACATGTTGTAGATACTTTAGGATTCAGATAGGTGCAAAGAGAATGACCATCTAAAGACGGACACCGCGGTAAGATAAACAACCTCATAAATCTGGCACCTTCTAGGGCGCCAAAGACAAACACCTAGCTAAGACAAACGAGTTCGTTGACTTCACGCCTCTGGAGGCACTAGACACTGAAACATTGCTGCTTTGTAACCTCAGCCCAACCCCAAACCCTAAACCCTTGTTACAGAAACCTTAAACCGCCGCTGCCTTGTAGAACACGCCACCGTTGAGGATGTTAGCCGCGGCAATGCCAAACCTGATTCCCGAGCCGCTCTGGTAGTTTGAGATGAGCGCTTCCTATGTCCAAAATTAGAAATCGGGTGTGGGGTCTAGGGTTCAGTGTTAGTAATGGGTTGAAAAGTTTAGGTTTAGAGTCTACGAATATCGATAGAGTACACTTCAGAATTCTATGGTTCAAGATGCGGGAGGTGGCAATGCCGAACCTCCCCGGCATCTGCTTGGCTCAGTCTATTCTTCCCAGGTCGTTGCTGTGCAGGCGTGGTGTCAAGCATGCAAGACCGGAATGCGCTTCATCTCTCCTATGTGGCGCCAAGGGGCGACACGGCCGGGTTGAGGGATCCGCCGGAGATGCCGCCAATGGCGAAGCCGCCGACGGTGACGCAGGAGCCGATGGCGAGACCGAAGAGGTGGGAAGCCTTGGTGCGCTCGGAGACGGCGACGCAAAGCACCACGAAGCAGAGCACGAAGGTGTAGACGATCTCTGCCACGGACACGCCTGCCCAGGTGCTGGAGCCAACGGGTCCCAGGCCAAAGGTAGCACCCTGGTAGATGAAGGCGTAGGTCAGCGCCGCCGCGATGCCTCCCGCAATCTGAACTCCTGCATACGTCCCGGCCTTGGCAGGGGTCAGCTCGGGGCAGCGGCCCGAGGCAAGGATTGCGACGGTGACGGCCGGGTTGAAGTGGGCGCCGGAGACATCGCCCAAGGCATAGATCATGGAGGTGAGGCCAGCGGCAATGGAGAAGGCGGCTGCCTTGGAGCTGCCAAGCACGTTGAGGCCCACAGTCAGAACCAGCATGTAAGTGCCCAAGAACTCGCTCACCAGCTCGGTCACCTGGCTCTTCTCACCACCGAAATCTTCCGGGCGCACCACCTTGAAGAGGGCAGCCGCCATGGCGGCGCCAAGCAGCTCGAAGATCACGTAGGCGATGGACCAGCCGAAGCCGCGTCCTGCACTGGACACATCGATGCCCAAAGCCACAGCAGGGTTGAAGCAGCCACCAGAGACGGCACCGGCACCATAGGCGCCTGCCACCACGGTGAAGGCGATGGCCATTCCATAGTACTGGTTCTTCTCCCCCACATTCTTCTTGGCAGCAGCGACATTCATGACCACGAAGGTGAGCATGAAGGTGTAGAGGAGCTCGCAGAGACCAGCGTGGTACCAGGAGAAGCCCTTGGCTGGGGCCAAGTTGAAGCTTTGCCCGAAGAGCAAAGAGTAGCAGATGGCGGCCGCAATGCCTGCAGCCGTCTGCACACCAGCATAGATGCCGACGGTCTTCCAGTCCAAGCCCGGGCCACCCATGGCACGAGAGATGCCCAGCGTCACCGACACAGCCGGGTTGAAGTTGGCGCCCGAGATGCCGCCCAGCGCGTAGATGCACACCATCAGAACGAAGGCGATGGACACTCCAGCCCAGGTGGCGGAACCGCCCAGCACGTTGCAGCCCACAGTGAAGATCAGGAGGAAGGTGCCCACGAACTCCGCCGTGCACTTGGCGACCATAGTTGGTTCCGTGGTCATGGCTGCCTGATCGCATTCTCAGCCCTACTGGCGACAACAACAACAGCAGCAAAGAGGCAACCGCAACAGGAACAGCCACAGCACCAGCGAAAGCAGCAGCAGAAGCAGCGGCAGAAGCAGCAGCACCATCACCACCGCCACCAGCAACAACAGCACTAAGACCAACACCAACACCAACGGCAACAGTAACAGCAACACTAGCAACGACAGTAACAGTAGCAGGAACAGTAACAGCAGCAGGAACAGACACAGTAACAGTAGCAGTAACAGTAAAAGTAAAAGGAACAGAAAGAGGAACGGGAACAGTAACAGCAACAGCAGCAGCAGCTGCAGCACCAGGAAAAGGAACCGGAACGGCGGCAACAACAGTGCCAAAACCGGAATGCTGGAGAACTTGTGCAAGGCAGTATTGACCTTATTGACCCAAATCCAGCGTACCCCAACGTGAGGTGTTTTATGTTCCCTGATCCTGGCAATCAGAGCACGAAAGCCCTGCTCGTGTTTAGACGTAGACAGCCTTTTCTAGTCCTGGGGCTCTGACAAGAGGCACGGAGCTTCAATGAAACTGAAGAGCGCAGCAGCTTTGAGCTGTATGGCTGGCGGTCAAGAAAAACCACATTTATCAAAGACATCACGTGAACCTGGCAAGGCTGCTGCTGAGATACGGTCTTCGGCGTGCAAGGTTTCGGACAGACACCAGACACCACCTACCTACTCACTGTCGTTTTTTGGGGCCTCGCACCATCTTTAAGGCCTTTTGCTGACTTCAGCCGATGCTGGATGCGCTCGCACATCTGCCAACGATCTTTTTCAGAGGCTTGCCCGCTTGATAGCCGCTGTCGCCTGCAAGGGGGAATTCAAGAAGCTTCTTCAGGTTTTCTGCTTCCAGTTCAAACACCTGCAGCTTGCCCAACCAGAATATCAACCCTTCTCAAACTCCAAATCCTCAGGTGTATGTATAGGGGACGGAACTACAGTTCAACCACCCTCCAAACCCCCAGGACATCGACCCCACACGACAAAACCCCTTGCAAAACCGTAAATCCTGAAACACAACATCAAAGTCCTCAGCATAGAAAAAAGAGGGAACAACAAAAAACAATGCATGCCTTACACTGAACCCCCAAACTCTATAGCAATCACGAAACCCGCCCGTGACCAGCCTCTGAAGGTCTCAAGCCTCCGCTTTCTCGTCCTTCCCGGCGGCTGGGTCCATCTCCACCTTGCGAGGCAATCGGGGATGCATCATCTCGGGTATTGGGATCTGGCGTCTGTGGACCTCCGGGTGTGTAATTAAACTTGCATATACAACGTCTCCGACTGTTGTGCTGCATATTGGGTAGTGCACTGCACGCTGCGTGCCCCTAAGCCCCTCCTCCAAATGCCTCCAGCAGTTCGGCAACACAGATTCTGACAACCCTAGACACCTAAACCCAAAATGACCCTAAACCCTAACCCCAAGGGTCCAAGTCATTACCTAATAAGCATATACTCTCCAAAATCCTAACCTACATAACTACTATCCTAAAACCGAATACCTAATTATTGGGTCCTTTGGACCCTTGGGGTAACTACAGAAGTCGACGGCGCTGCCTCGTGAGTAACCTTGAAGACACCCGCAGCAGCCGTCGCTCCGGCAAGCTCCAAGAGGGTGTACAGAAGGGCCTGCTACACAAACGCGCACACACACACACGGGTGTGCGGATAAAAAATGTAGAGTGATAACAACAATGAAGAATACACTAACAACATACATCAGAATAATGACAACAAACAACAATTGTAGTCTCTCTCTCTCTCTCTCTCCCTCCTCTTGATGTACACACACACACACACATTATATATATATATATATATATATCACATATACACGTATATAAACATATGTATATCTCTATATCTCTATATATATATACACATATATATATACACATATGTCTGCATATATTAATTTTACTTATGCAGACAGGGACATCGAGATAGAGAGAGGGAGAGAGAGAGAGAGAGAGAGAGAGAGAGAGAGAGAGAGAGAGAGAGAGAGAGAGAGAGAGAGTACAGAAGGGCCTACAAAACATGTCCGAAAGCCAGACTAGTAAAGGGAATCGTCAGCCAGCCATGAGAAACGCTGGAAATAATTAAAGTAGGAAAAAACAGGAATCATGGATACGAAAAAAATAGGAACGAAATTACACAATAGGGGAAATATTGGAAACAAATAGGACAGCAAATACGAGCAAAGCACAGGCATAAGCAGCAACATCCATGGAACAATCACAACAGCAGCAATACCACGACAACCCGCATAGTTAACGCAAGACTGTTCGAACTAGAAGGAATTCACAACGTACACACATTCGTGCAGGTGCGTGACTAGATGTTCAATGCAAACACAGTAAGCTGATAAGCACAAGAGGGCATTGACATCTGTAATCTTGACCACTGATTGCTGAAAACATGATGGCATATCCCGAACATGCAGAAAACACATTAGACTGGACAACGGCATGACATATAGCAATGCTTTGCTCAATGGACCGAGGATGTGCGCATGTCTCACATGCATGGCAAATTTATGAGTCTAGGAGCATTTGGGAGCAGTTTTGGTTTGCTACCCTAACTCCTCTCACTCGGCTTCTTTTTGGGCGGGCTCTGGACCAAAGTGGTTCCTGCACGGCGGTTCCGACGCAGGAGGCCACAAGGCGGAAGGGGCTGGGGGGAGTGGGGGAGGGGGGGGCCTCAGCGGCCTCTTCTTTTTCTCCTATTTTTCCTATTTTTCCCCTATTTTTTTGCAATGCTCCCGGAAACTGTGTTTTTAGCGTTTTCATAGGAAGGTTAGGGAAAAAATAGGAGACAAATAAGTAAAAAATCGGGAAAACAGCTTTTGCAGTCTGCACCCTTCCCTCCCGGACCCCCTCCCTCCCGAAAAGCGGTGGGTGGGGACGGGAGGAATGGGAGGCCTTGAGGGGCTGAAGGCTCCCTCTCGCTGCCCCCTCCGCATCCTGCCTCAATGGTTGAAAGCGAGAGTTGGGTTGCTGCGTGCTTACTCGTATGCATTCCCCCCCTCGGCGGTGACGTAAGGTTGCTCTTTGCTGGCTGCAACGCTGCCTGCCTCTCCCCTTACCTTCCCACCATCCCCCTGTGCGCGGACCTTTTCGCTCACTTTGGACCACCCCCACCTCCCCGAAACCAGCTAAAAGCTCCACCCATCCCCCTTTTGCCCGGAGCTTCCCCAGCCCGTTGCCCAGGGCCCTGGACTCACTAGCGGCCCTAGCGCCACACGCCTGGGCCCAAGAGCAATGCGTGCCTTTCAATTCAAGCACGCTTACATCCTATGACACATCCGACCCCTCCGAAAAGCTTTATTTTCATCCTGTTAAAGCCCCATTTTATTCCTATGTTAAAACGTATTCCGAAATCTGACCCTATCCGAAATCCTATTCCAAATCCTATTTTTTCCCTAAATCAATTAATTGTCTGAACTCCTCGATGCTGGCCGAGAGCTTTTTACTAAGCCAGACATCAGACATTGCAGCGGCCTCTATGCTTCTAGTGTTGGCAAAGCTACGGTAGATATACAAGGGACCGAATAAGCCCAACAGGTTGCGGTGCATTTTGGTGGGTGATAGTCTATATAGACTTTGTCCTTGTGCAACGGTCATCGATGAACATCATCAGGGGCTTTCTTAAAAAGGCAAATAAGGAACACTTAATTGACAGAACGGGGACCCTACTATTTTCTATAAGCCCGTATTATGATAACTTGAAACTAAAATGCGAAAACAAAGTCAGTGCTCAGGAGCTTAACCATGACACGTAGTGCAGGACTTGGGTTGCCACAAAGTGGGTACGATCTGTTCATGGCTTAGGGACTTCATCACTTCCCATTTGGTATCAAGCTACCACAACTAAAGTATTGGGAAGAGTTATACTGAAAAGTACCTTCCCAGCCCCACAAGACCTGGTAGAAGCGTCCGCCGTTCAAGATGTGGGAGGTGGCAATGCCGAACCTCCACGGTGTCTGCTTGGCTTACTGCATTCACTCTTCTGAGGTCAGGTCATCAAGTTGCAGGCGTGGTGTCAAGCATGCAAGACCGGAATGTGCTTGATCTCTCCTATGTGGCGCCAAGGGGCGACACGGCCGGGTTGAGGGATCCGCCGGAGATGCCGCCAATGGCGAAGCCGCCGACGGTGACGCAGGAGCCGATGGCGAGACCGAAGAGGTGGGAAGCCTTGGTGCGCTCGGAGACGGCGACGCAAAGCACCACGAAGCAGAGCACGAAGGTGTAGACGATCTCTGCCACGGACACGCCTGCCCAGGTGCTGGAGCCAACGGGTCCCAGGCCAAAGGTAGCACCCTGGTAGATGAAGGCGTAGGTCAGCGCCGCCGCGATGCCTCCCGCAATCTGAACTCCTGCATACGTCCCGGCCTTGGCAGGGGTCAGCTCGGGGCAGCGGCCCGAGGCAAGGATTGCGACGGTGACGGCCGGGTTGAAGTGGGCGCCGGAGACATCGCCCAAGGCATAGATCATGGAGGTGAGGCCAGCGGCAATGGAGAAGGCGGCTGCCTTGGAGCTGCCAAGCACGTTGAGGCCCACAGTCAGAACCAGCATGTAAGTGCCCAAGAACTCGCTCACCAGCTCGGTCACCTGGCTCTTCTCACCACCGAAATCTTCCGGGCGCACCACCTTGAAGAGGGCAGCCGCCATGGCGGCGCCAAGCAGCTCGAAGATCACGTAGGCGATGGACCAGCCGAAGCCGCGTCCTGCACTGGACACATCGATGCCCAAAGCCACCGCAGGGTTGAAGCAGCCACCAGAGACGGCACCGGCACCATAGGCGCCTGCCACCACGGTGAAGGCGATGGCCATTCCATAGTACTGGTTCTTCTCCCCCACATTCTTCTTGGCAGCAGCGACATTCATGACCACGAAGGTGAGCATGAAGGTGTAGAGGAGCTCGCAGAGACCAGCGTGGTACCAGGAGAAGCCCTTGGCTGGGGCCAAGTTGAAGCTTTGCCCGAAGAGCAAAGAGTAGCAGATGGCGGCCGCGATGCCTGCAGCCGTCTGCACACCAGCATAGATGCCGACGGTCTTCCAGTCCAAGCCCGGGCCACCCATGGCACGAGAGATGCCCAGCGTCACCGACACAGCCGGGTTGAAGTTGGCGCCCGAGATGCCACCCAGCGCGTAGATGCACACCATCAGAACGAAGGCGATGGACACTCCAGCCCAGGTGGCGGAACCGCCCAGCACGTTGCAGCCCACAGTGAAGATCAGAAGGAAGGTGCCCACGAACTCCGCCGTGCACTTGGCGGCCATAGTTGGTTCCGTGGTCATGGCTGACCTGATTTGGCTTGCCCTAGAGGGCTAACAAAGGTCTGCGCACCTATACAATGCATACACACGTACACATCTGACATAAATAGACATATCTATATGCACACAAGCATATGTCTATGTACATACAAATACATACATACATACATACATACATACATAATCATACATACATACATAATCATACATACATACATACATACATATATACATACATACATGCATACGTGCATACATACATACATACATATATACACATACACATGCACACACCTAAACACACTCATGCACACGCCTGCATATATGGTGCAGCGCTGCTAGGCCCCCCCTCCCCCCCCCACCCCATGGTATCCCCCCCTTCCCCCGTATGGTTCCCTGTGGTGTGGGTTCCCCCTGCCCCTCCGCCCTGTGGTTGCGGTCGGCTGCGCCCCCGTCCATGGCTATGCGTCCGGTTGCTAAGGGTTTGGACCGTAGGATGTGATACAGTTCTATTGAACTCCGACCTGCCCTGAGCTCCAAAGCCAATGATAGTGATGAATATGATGGTGATGATAATGACGAAGATGGTGCTCATGATCCCCATCCGCACTCTCATCAGGTCCCTTGCTCAAAAGTCCCGAATGAAAACCAGTCAAATACGTGCTCAAGCTTACTTGTAGCGAACCCAACCGAAACTTGGCTTGGAATGACAACGGTCGATATGGTTTTCGCAAGAACATCACAAGCCAAGCACGGTTTTCAACTAGATAAAGCGATAAACATGCGGTGCCGAAGCCCGGAGCAACATAAGAGCAAAGGTACCACCAATAGCCACACTGGGACTAGCACATCAACATCATTGCGCACAGCATTCTCATTTGTGCTCGAAGAGAGGGGAAGGGAAGGGGCCCGGTGGTTCCCTGTGTTGATTATCCTTCCCCACCCCGCCCCTGTGGTTCGCCGTCTTGTGGTTCCACTATTCTCCCGCACCCACCCCCGATTGCCAAGGCGAGTGTGACTGTTTGATTGGACGAGACTGGCTTCGGGGGGGGGGGGGGGGGGCATGCCATGGGGGGTGGGGGGGCCTGCGACGCGGCGACGGCACCATATATGATGCAGGGCTGCCACACCCCCCCCTCCCCCCCACCCCATGGTATCCTCCCCCCTTCCCCCCCGCCCCCCCTGTGGTGTGGGGCCTGTGGTGGTACTCTTTTTGCCACGACGTTCTTATGTGTTACTCCTTGTCTTCCCTCTTGTTGTGGCACCGGTGATACTGCTCATGATGTTGTGCTGCTCTAGACCGGGACATGAGTCGACGATCATACCATGCTCAACATCATCCTTGTCGTCGTCATGTTCATCATTGATACCTTCAAAAGAAGATCTGCCACCATCACCATCGCAATACAACCCTCATAATTCAGCATTGCAATTCACGTCAGATGCCGCTTTCCGCACACGGCAGGGCATAGTGCGACACTCCCGATCCGCGCACAAGGTCAAGGGGCAGGCAAGGTGCGGGCCGGGGGCGGCGGGGCGGGCAGGGCGTGCAGCAGCAGGGCGGCTTGGGGGGGGGGGGGATACCATTGGGGGGGGGGGGGTGGCGGCCCGGGACCCGAGAGCATATATACCTACCTACCTGCCTGCCTACCTACCTACCCACCTGCGTACGCACATACATACATGCATACATATATACTTTCATTCATACATACATACATACATACATACAGCTACGTACATGCATGCATACATACATACATGTGGCCCTACATTATCATACCATACAAGTAACTACATCCAAAAAAAGGCTTTACATTGCATTACAATACATGACATGCCTTACATGACACTCCATACACTACAGTGCACAACATACATTGCATTACATGTCATTTCATGTCATGCCACTTCTATCATTGCATCACATAGACGACAGTAAAGTACATGCATGGCAATTCATTTACGTACATTACGTTGCATTGCAATGCATTGCATTACATTGCAGTACATTGCGTTACGCTGCAGTACATTACATTACGTGACATGACACTGCACTGCATTACCTACAATACACTACAACAAACTGTATTGCGTTATATTGCAGTAGGTTATGTTACAGTACATGACACTACACGTGCATGCCTGCATGTCCACGCACACATACATAGCATATGCAAACAAACATGCATGCTCCCATACCATGTCATACAACCATACAAGCAGCTAGCAAACCAACACAACCACTACACACAACCACACAAACAAACACACGACCAAGCAACCACACCAGCAATCATGCCAACAACCAAACAAACAAGCACACAAACACACACACACACACACAACACCAACAAGCAACCAACCAAACACACAACCACAGCAAAAAAACACAAACACCCAAACAAACAAACAAACAAATAAACAAACAAACAACCACATCAACAACCAACCAACCAACCAACCAACCAAACAAACAACGGCACAAACAACAAACACAAGACCGCACGAACACACACACACACACACACACACACACAGAGACACAGACACACACACACACACAGAAACACACACAGAAACACACACACACACACACACACACACACACACACACACACACTAACAACAAAAACACAAGCCAAAAAACAACCAACCAAACAAACAGACAAATAGACAACCAACCAACCAACCCACCAACCAACCATGCAAGCAAACACACCAACACAAAACAGACAAACAAACAAACAAACAAACAAACAATCAGGCAAGCAAACAAACAAACAAACCAACACATACCATACACACATGCATACATACATACTTGCCTACATGCGTACATACATACATACATACATACATACATAGATAGCAGAAGTATCTCACCAACTAGATAGACTTCTAACCAATTCTATGAACACATACGTGTATGCATGGTATGCACGTGGTTAAACCCAACCTGAATATGCATGTTCCAGTGCAGGTCTTAACCGAGTGCCGAGTGTACAACAAAAGAGCTCTCAGACCTAGTCTCCGAAGTACACAGATCCCCGTGCCTCTGATCCGTTTTGCAGACTCTCATACCGAAGTTCCGAAACTAAAGCGGCCTTCATGATTAGAACAGGGTTTTGGGGTATATTAGATCATATAATTAATACGTAACCAAGGAACCCCACAATCATATAGAGCATTGTTTCAGCCCCTCCATCAAGTGATGTTTGGTACAACCTTCAGCACACAGGAAATTCGGAATGGCCCATGCAGGCATTGGAAATGGGAGGGAACATGAGGGAACCTAGAAGCGTTGACCGTGACCAAACCTCATGCACTCGCAAAGTATCCCCAATCGGAGCCCTGGCGAAATCTCGACACCAGGAGGCATCTCGGCAAGCAGTGTCGAACCTTTGCGGATCTGTCTGAATCCTCCGACTCCTAGGGCAGTCGCCTTTTTTAAGTCCGAAGTAGAAACTATGCGCCCCTGATGGGGGGCCCTTAACCCTGGGACCCTTTTATACACCTACTGTATACCCCATATGTACCATTTAGGGTCCAGGAAAGGCTTGGGCCCAACCGTAGATTAAGTGTATGCCTTAGACGCTGCCCCCACCCTGTAATAGTGACTATAAGGATTATATTAGGGCCCTACTATTTTCCTATTATACCACTATTACAGGGTGGGGGCCCCTTCTCATGTATGCCCCATGAAGACCCAGACTGGATCTTCAAGACATACGTCATCAAAACCTTCACGAAAGGGAAGAGGCTTATTGAACTTTCAGGTATGCTGACACGTTAGCTAGACATCCCAAACCCCAAACGTTCAAAACGGTGGGGTGCTGGAGAACTATAACAGGCAGGCAGGTGCCACGGGCTTCGGGTAAAGCCCCAGCAGAATGCTGAGACTGCCACGTGCGATAGTCGCGGTCTTCAATTGGAGGGCAGGGGCCCGCGGAGATTAGCTGAGATCCAGCTTGAGGCTAAGCATTTCGCGGATACGGCACGGGTTTATGTTACATGTCTTGTGTTCCTTTGTTCCAGGGCTTCGGGGTTGGTATTTAGAGGGTTCAGCGGCTTTAACTTGAGGGTTCAGGGCTGAGGGTTTGTGAGTCAAGGGGTTTCGGTTTACGGGTTTAGTGTCTGCGGTTCAAGGTTTTAGGACAGGGTCTGAACCTCAGGGTTACTACGCGGGATGGTTGACGTCGCTCCACAATGCAAGGTTCAGACCCCCACACCCAGAACCTCAGATGCTGTACACTATGCCCCAAATCCTTGGGACCTAAGCCGTGTGCAAAGGGTCACCCTAAACCTGGTTTGGGCTACTGGGTAGTAGTTGGGGTCTACTTGTGTGCGTATAGCTTCTGGACTGCTAGGGTTTAGGATGGGGGGGGCGAGGCTGCTGCCACATGCATCCAAAAGCTGCAAGCGGCGCAACCGCCCAAAGCCTGTACCCTGCGTCCGAAACCATGAGCTCAAATACTCGAAACCCAGGAGCATCAACTGCTAATAACCCTAGAAGCTGTAATCCATGTAAAAGCCATAAGTCCCACTGCTCTAAACCCGCAAAGCCCTGACAAATCCTGCGCTTCAACTGTTACCTCCCCTTACGGTGCATGTACCTATCTTACATCACTATGGGCAAGTAGGCCCTTAGTAGGGCTCCAGACCTGCCTGAAGCCTCGAGCCCAAATGTAGGAACCTGATTAAGAAACCCTGGGCCTATAACCACCAAAATAGTAGGATTCATAAATACAAGGAACCCTAATAAAGGCCCAAGGCTTCCTAATCAGGTTCCTACATTATTATAGTACCCTAACAAAGGCCGAAGGTTTCTTAATCAGGTTCCGACAGTATACCCTAAACCTTATAAACCCTAAAACCCTAAACCTGAACCCTTTATAGAACCCCTATACATCCCCTTTAGGGAACCCTTAAAGGATCCCGTCGAGCTCTAGAGCCTGCACCCTGTAATCATGGCGGCAAAGCCTGTGATAACGTCTCTTCAGACAGGCCGGGTTTCGTGC